TTTAATTTTTTACTGCTATAAATATTTACTACTTTTTAACACTCAATGTTTTTGAAACTAAATTTTTTTCCACCTCCTTAACACGTAACTAAACTATCCAGGACTTTAAAACGATAAATGTATTATAACCAGTTTTATATCACTCTCTAATGAAATCTTATAACAAAATACTTATATTTTGTCTCTAGTTTGTTAATCTCTAAATCTTATATGTATATTTAAATGATAAAACACAATTCATTCTAATACACACATATATTTATATATATATAGCAGCAAAGTAAACTAATAAAAATGTTAAGTTCAGGTGTCTTATACTTAATTAAAAATAATTAAATTGTCTGTCTCAAAATTTATACCTGTAAGTAAAATTTATGAGTTCTAAAAACTAAATTAATTTTAATAATTAAATAATTAACATAAAACTCAATTTTGAAGGGTAGTAAAATTTAAAATTACTTTCCTCTGCAACTCAATTACACAATGAAAACCTTTGAGACTTTATTCCGCAGGTGATTTCAGTAATTTTACGTTACACCCTTGACAAAGGATCCGCATTCTTATGAGCATATACTGTACTAAGTACAAAGCTAGGTTATTATGAGGTAGCATAAGTAAAGCAACTACAATTACGTTAACAAAAATGAATAAAAATTGTATGTTCTGTGGGAGAAGGTAGGTTGGATTCCTTTTATTGCTATAAAAATATGTGTAGAAGCATCTCCGCAACTAACTTCAGTAAATATGGCGCTTGAATCGAAAATTGTACGTGCGAAACTCGGGGGAGACTTAAATATTAAATTTTGCACAGATGTAAGAGGAATAAAAATAAATACAAAAGAGTCGCAAAATTGTTAAAGTTTTCCCTTTCAATTTAAAAACTTGTTGCTTTAATAAAGTAAGAAAGTTTTTTTTTTTATGAAAAAGATACATTTAAAAATGTATTAGAATCGCTGTCAAAAACATTGAAAAAGGTACTTTTTACTTGTGAAAGTGGTTCTTTAGCTGCTACTTATATTTCTATTATTTAAGGAAAATTTATATGAAATATTTCACAAGTAATTTTAAAAAAAAGTTAAATAAGGCTTATGCACACAAACAAACTAAATTATTTTACTATGTTTATCTTCTAACGATGTTATTAAAACTTAGGAAATTCAGTTTGTGACTGCTAAAAATATAGATTTTTTACGAAAAGTAGAAATAAAATGTTGGTGTGACATTTCTTGTATTTATATACATTTAAGATATTGAGTTATAAATATTTAATTTTGATATAAATTAAAAATAAACTGTGTAAGAACAATGCAACTTGATGGTAAAGTTTTGTTTTTAATTTAATGAGAAAAATATCTTATATTGTGCAAATAGTAATTATAATTTGGGGTTATGTAAGCCTCTGGGAACGAATAAACGATATAACATATTTGATCGAATTTAACCCGGTAAATGCCAGCACAATCTTTATTGTGGTTGATACAAGATGTCGCACAAATCTCACGTGGTATCTGTTGAATGTTTCCTAGTATCCCATAGGTAATAGAGTAATAGAGCATCCGTAATGGAAAATCAGCTGCTAGTAATAGATAACTGCATAAAACAACCTATTAAAATCCATTAATAGGTTGTTATGACTAAATGGGAAGGTAAGAAACTAATTAAAAGTGGTGTGTGATTAAGACTAAAAATAATATATATAATTACATGTTACGATTATTAATATTTCTTTTACTGCTAAAGCAGATATTAATTAAAGTAGATGCAGGGCTTAGGCAATATGCAAAATTTATTTAAAATAACTTTAAAAAGGTATATTATAAAGGTATCTGATTTATTGCTGAAAGTATCTGTACTTTCACATTTTTAATATGAGTTTTAACGTTGGTAATCGTTTTTGAAAGATGTTTTATATGCCGATGATTATATTTGGAAGAACAGAATTTTCAATAACAGAAAAATCTGTTTACAACCTTTTAAGTCGTCGTTAATTTGCAGTAGAGTTTAAAGAGGAACTTCAGAAAATATTTTAAAGATATTTTAAAGATAGCCAATCTGGATGTATGACTTACAGCTATTTGGCAATGCCTGTTTGTCAAATGTAGAAATCCTACAAAGAGCTCAAGTTAAGATTCTAAGAATGATAACTGGTGTACCCTGGTATATCAGAAATGAAAATATACATTTGGATTTGAGAGTTGCAATGGTTAAAGTCGAGTTCGAGAGAATGAGGCAGAAACATATTTCAAATCTTCAAAACCATGTGAATCTGCTGCCTAGACCTCTTTTGCTAATATGACAACTTCCTCTAGACTGAAACGGAATGATAGACCCGCCATCCTGCATTCCTAACGATCACCCTTATCGCCCCCTTTTTATCATAAAGAATATAATTGATAATAGCAAAGTATAGGAATGAGTCCCAGTTATTTTAAGTGGTTAGCTGACATGCTGGTTCAACGCTACTGTGGTCTGACCGGACGTATTAAGATTATGCATACAAGTTATATGTTCTTATATAATTTCCTTATTTTTGAGAAGCGAAGCTCAACCAAACCTGATCTGTTTTGAAAAAGGAATTTTACCTCCATAATTATTGAAACCATACGAAGTCAACGTGGAGTCCAGAATAACCGAAATTGTGGGCACGTGCAGTTCGTGGTACCACATACATAGTTTTTGACTTATGTCACAAATGAATTTAATTTGCTATCAGTTATATTCCAAAACAGTGTAGGACGAGAATAGTATTGGAATATTTTAAATATTAAATTATTCACATATGCTGAATGGAATATACATTTCTATGCGTCTTTTAAAACAATAATAATTCGATACCGTGTCTTTCTAAGAAATTCGAAGCTTGTAGATGATGAAGAAGATGAAGATATATATAAGTTTTAAGACTATCACAACCTTGTTTTTTTTTGTTAACACAAGATAAATAGGTAAGTACGAGAAGTCATAACTTCAATAAAAATTGTAATAAAACCATAAGACTTTTATTCACTTTTGCTCTATAGATTGGATGGCGGTACTAAAATATATTTCTGGAACAGCTAAAAACTGGGTACTAAATAATGCGTAATCAGTCAGTCGGGCATTAACAACTGACTTGAAAGATATCTTTTGTGCAACTCAATATCTTGAGTATGGCATACACAAATTTCTAAGTCAGAGCTGTAAATCAGTTTGAAACTGAAATGTTTTTAAATTCAAATGGTTTTGAATAGGATCGCTTGATGTTTCAGTGCAATTAAACTACAGCATGAACTAAACTTTTCAAATTCTACCAGGAACCGCTGGAGGCTAGATAAACCGTCCATCAACCAACAAATTACCAAACTACTTCAGAAATCTAAGCCGTTTATAGTCCAGATTCAGACAAGAACAAAAGATTTGTTACACAATATTAAAAAAATTATAAAACTTAAAAGAAACCTTGTAATTAAATGGCTGTCTTCTAGTCGAAGAAGAAACTTTTTTAAAATTTACAAATTTTAAAAGTATCTCAAATAAATAATTCAATTAAATAATATGAGATAGTATATATTGAAAAAAGTATTAAAAAAGAATATTGACATATTTTACACTACCGAAAGTCATTTATTGGTTGCATATCGGACCTTTCTGGAGTTCCCAAATGGTAGATGAAAAATTTTTTGAAATTATGTCATTTTGATAGCTTTTATTAGTTATAGCTTTTATTTTATTATCACATTTTAATTAACGTGAATCAAAGTTTCAATTAACAGATATAATCTATTAACTTAAGTAGTAACTATTAAATAAGTTAATATAACATATACATATATATACATATATATATATATATTAATTATATAGCAAAAAATTTACTTTTAATTATTTGTTATAAATTCTAATCTTCAAGAAAAACAAAAAATTAATCATCAGATACTTTTGCAGTCGCTTCGAAAATTTATAATTTCAGCTGAATAAATAGAATATGACGAATTCATTGAGTGATGCTTTGTAAAAAAAAATTTATTATATGAAATATAAATGCTATTTAGAGTTTCTTGATTGACTACATAAAAATTAGTTTTAATATTTTCAATATACAGTACTTTCGGAATTTTTGTTTTATATAAGAAAATGTTTTATTTTGAACTAGATTGTTTAGCAAAATATAATATTCGAAGGAGAAAACATCACCTGCTAATTTAATAATTTTACCAGTTGCTACATTATAACTATATGACTATATGAATATGAATATCATATCAATTAATTTTTTTTTTATTCAAAGATTTTAAATAAAAAATATTTTATCTGAATTAAAAATTATCTGAATTTAATCTTTTTTTTATTATAGATACCAATGACTTTTAGAAAAGTTCGTTAATTCTTCCTAAGCAATATGAAGCAAAAATCTTGAAGTGAAAGTGTCTGCACACGTTGGACTACATAATGCTACTGTTTGGTTCTAAGAGTGAATGCCTCGATTGGGCGTAGATATGCATAGACAGACAGACGGTTTTATAGAAATGACGTGTGCGCAGGTTTGCTTTGGGAAAAAAACATATTTTTAAGCTTTTTGTTTTGCTACAATTCTTCGTATCTTTGGCTATATTCAAATTGTTTAACATGTCACTGCTATTTTAACATTATTAACTCAGAAACTCAGAATTCAAAACATTTTTTCCTCTTCTATGTTATTAATTTTTGTATGAACAGACTAAAGAATTCTTTTTATATTTTAATATAATTGAAACATAACAACAATGTCTTATGGAATAAAATATTTGTTCTCTTTTATATTTAAGTGAAATGTTAAGTTAACATTTGTGTTAAAAATTTGATATTTATCGAGCAGTTGACTAACCGCCCCAGTGGCCCAATGGATACGGCATCGGCCTCCTAAGCCGGGGATTGTGGGTTCGAGTCCCATCTGGGGTAAAGCTATATACAACTTTTTTTAATTTTTTTTTTTGTTTTATATATATATTATTTTACTTATATATGAAAATATTAAAATTTACCTGTATTGGTTTACTTGTAGCCAAATCAACTAGTTGGTCCTCAATATGTATATAACCACTTTGTATCAGACCTATAAATAAATTTAATATAATATTAAAAATATAAATTAATAATAAAATTTAATATTAATCTGTAGTGAGGTGGCTGAGTTTGTTTTTTAATTTAAATATAAAATAATAAGTATTTCGCTATTATTCTATTTAAAAATAACGGTTAAAATTACAAAGTAATATTATTTTAAAAATATTATTTCGAAAATCTTATATAAACTATACTTTTTTATATTTACTTTAATATATATTAACACAATTTTTGAAACCTTGATATATTAATAAATAATATTGACTAATTTTTTTTACTAAAATTTTATTATAATTAATATTTTAAAAATATCTATTTAATGTATAAGTATATGTTAATAGATGATATTTAAAAATTTAATAAAATTCTTTTATTAAATTTGATATATTAGTGATATATAATGTTTAAATTTATTTATTATTTTTGCTTTAATTATTTTGATGTTTTAATTATTTATTTTTTTTTGCTTGGCACTATTATTAACATCATCTATTACCTATTACCTGTTTCGAGTATTTCCAAATACTCATCATCAGGGCTCTTGGTAATTATAACTTATATTTATTTATTTGTAAATAATTATTTTGAGACTTCAAGTACCAAGGATGGAACTCGTGCCCTGCCAAATTTAAAGCTTAGATTCAGTGTTCATTAGCCAACTGACCCAAAGCGGTACTTGTCTTGTATGTTTGCACATGTAGTTTTGTTTTTTTGTTAATTCGCTGTGAAAGTTCATTAACAAATTCCCTTGGTGTATAATATTAGAACGAAATCATAAACCAGCTGTAGAATAATTGAATTATTTAATTATATTTCTATTTTTAAGTGTTAAATTTTAATACTATTTTTTTGTAGAGGCATTATTTCTTGTATGAGTTCATTTCTTTCTTGTGCATATTTAGAAACCTAATCTAGAAACTTAATACGGAGAGAGGTTTCGAACAGTACTGAACTATAATAAAAAATATTTACAAAAAATATTTATATTACAGATATTTCAGTGTACATCCTCTTCAAAAAAAAATTGCTTCGCTTATTGTATATTGAACGACCTAAGTCCAGTGATAATCAAAAAAACAGGATGTTTTTGGCTATATTCATTAAGTAAGTGTAATATAAATTGATATTGTTTTTTCGTTTTAAGAAATTATTTATTTTATTATTTTATTCTTTTATCCACTTGATGCTCCATACTGCTTCATTATTAACCATTTAATTCTTCTAAAAAATTTTTTAAAAACTCTTTTATCATCTTCTCTGGTCTTCAATGAGAATACATCATGTTGGTGTATATATATAACTTGTGGAAAGATTTGATCGCCGTTAAACTAATTCATTTTTGAATACTTGCATAACATTTTTTTGTTAATTTTCTAAAGATTAGAATGCTGAGAAAAACGGTTTGAGAGATGTCCAATTGAAAAATCAAATTTTTGATAAATTAGTTTAAGCAGTTATAACATGTATTGGATGACTAAACTAACAGGATATTAGGAATTAAGAAACACCATTCCTGTGACTCATCCGAAATCCGTGAGTTTTAAAACTTATTAATTAAATAATTTGACATTATCAAAATAAGATTATTTTTCTTAAATAATATATTAAATATATTTTCTTATATAACTGTGATTTTTTTTTTCGCTTTTAGTAAAACTATTACTTAATTCTTTTATCAATTGCTTTAAGCACTTCCTTCTAAAATTTTAAAACCTTTTTAATTATATAATTTAATATAATAAAAATAAGATTATTTTTCGTAAATAATATATAAAATATATATTATGTGTCTGGGCCAGGTAATCAATTTATTCATTTACTTATTCATCTAGTATTTCTGATCGATAATACTTATTAACTATTCTATTATTATTATCGAATCAGTGTAAGTATAAGTACAGCTATAGATTCGATTTTAATCGATTGTTTTGTTAGATATTCCATTGTGTATACCCTGGTGATTAGCTATCACTACGTCCGGTGTATTGTTATTTAGCGATATACTGTGGGCATGGCTTTGTAACCGATACTCGGTTATGAAGGCATGACAGTGACAAATTTCCAGCCCGAATTTGAGAAGTTGTAGATTTGAGCACAAAAATAAATACAAGAATATAGGTGTCTGGGCCAGCTACATTACTTCACATATATGAGCGTTTCAGAATTTGTCAAAGTTTCAACTCGGTTTTTAAACCTTTGTTTTTTGTTTCTATACGGTAACAAAAAAAGTTAATAGGCCTAAGTGAATTCTTAGGATCACCACTATAACTTGACCCCATTTAATGCATATAAACAGTTTATAAAATCAAGTTGAAACTTAATATCATAAGAGAAATTCTTTAAATACAAGTTGCTTTAAAAATCAAATTGAGAAACAAATAGTCAGAATGCTTATGTTGTATATATTCCACATATCACATATTTCCTTCCAGTGTCGCAATTATTTTTAATTTTTTATGTTTTTTATTTTAATAAAAATGCAAAATTATTGCTAAGGTATGTTAACGTAAAATAAAAGTTGGTCGTGTTATTTTATTCACCTGAGTTTTCAAATCCTTGACATAAAAAATTAATGGTGTGCATGAAACAAAGCCAGTCAAAGCCAGCTAAGTTATTTTGCCAGATGCTATACACACTGTTGCTTTAAGGGTATTTGACAGAAGTTTGGTTAATAAATTAAGGTATATATACTAAATTATACAAATTTATAAAGTTCATTTAAAAATATTTCGTTTATTGGATAAATGGAGATTAAGTGTTGAACATTTAAACGTACTTTTCTGTCATGACACTAAAATTATGATGAGACTAATGATTTTGCAAACTGAGTTCCTGACAAACGTATATCATATTTAAAATTGGATTTGCTGAAGGCAACACTTAAAGCTCTTTCAATATTTATGTGTTGCACTCTGAATGTTTGTGGAGTACATAATATACTACTTTGTATTGCTCTTGACCCAGTTCTTTATAGTGGCTTAAAATAAACAACCTAACAGCGTAAGAGTTTACTATGCACTGAAATCATGAATGCCGAAATTGCAATGAAAACGCTTTCTCATTGACCTTGCTCTTGCTCCTGTTGCAATTTCAGTTCCAGTAGCAGGTATTTTAGTGTCATGGCCTGAATTTTAAGTAGTTTCATCCGAAATCATGTTTACGTTAAGAATTTAAAATAAATAGTTGCAATATTTGCTATTGAAGAATGATTTTTACATCATTTCAATTTTAAAGTTCATTAATAATGATATGAACTATTGTTTGTTCTTACTTTAATATTGATTAAACCAAAAACTATATTTTAAATTCAATTTTCAATTCAAAATAATTCTTCAAACTGCTAAAAATTACAATACATATGTTAAATATATACAGACTTGTGTGTGAGGAATTGTGTAGAAATATGAAATCAGTCATTGTTTTCATATAATTTATTTATTTTTAATTCAACCTACCTTGCATTAATACCACATATTGTCCAACACATTTGCTACTGCTGGTTATGGTACCACTTGTGCCACCCACAAGTCCACCCGAAGCATGGCTAAGTCCTGTTTTCAATAGGGTTTTTGTTGTTTGTGTGCGCAGCTCCACGATGAGTGGTTCATCGTTATTAGCGGGTCGTGCCAGAGGCCAAATAAAGGACTAAAATACAATTGTAAAATTAGAATTTTATAAAATATAACAGAATATTTTGAAGTCAATGGGAACACATGAAAGCAGTTTTAATTTTTTATGCTATTTTAAACATTGCATTAAATTATGATAAATTGTTTTTCACTTTTACATATTATACATAAGAAGATATAAGTTTTAATTTTCCGCTTGTCAACTTTATATATTAATATTATAAAAAAATTACTTTGATTTTAAAATAATCAAAGAAATAAAAGTTTTTTGTAAGAACTTAAAATATTTGCCAAAAGATTTGCTAAGATTTGGAATTGTCTTTTTCGGATGAAATAACAGGATTCAGGATTTATTATTATGACAATTTAATTATTTTATGCAAAATTATTCTGATTTGTTTCCAATTTATTACGACTTGTAAATACACTAATAAAATTGGAGTCTTATTTTTTACACATAAAAAATATTAGCGAATTGCGGATAAAGCGATGTGAAAAACTATCGTTAACTATCATTAAAGAAGTATTGAATTTCATATTAAATATAAATAGATATATAGATGGTAGTGACAGATTGTAGTTAATAACATTAGGTTGTTGCCCTACCCAACAAACTTTGGTTAAGTTACATCTATTGTGGTTCCGAAAATCATATAGGTTAATTCAGCAAAAGCTTTAAGGTCATAATTGACTTTTGAAATTTTGTGAAACGATACCCTTATTTTAAAAAAACTACTGAGACATTTCGATAGCACAAATATTGTTCTTAAATCTATGTACATGTATACTTATTCATTTTAAAACTTTATTTCTACAGTACCTTAATGTGAATCTTAAATAAATATATAAATTAATTTAAGTAAAATAGCGACTGTAACACAATGTCGTCCGTCGACTTATAGTACAAGGAATAATTAGTTTTATGGTTCTGACAAGCCCCAATACAAACTAATCATTTAGTAAGTTTTGTCCTTAACACTAACATTTAAGATATTATATAAGAACTTAACAAATCAGAAACCTGTAGTGAACAGATTGTTTCCGATAAGTATCGGACAGTCAAAGAGCAGACGATTAATGTTTTATTCTTCCTTTCCTCGCCAACAACTTTGACAGTAGCCATTGAAGAGTGTCCGTAATTCATTGGAATGCCTGTATATTTGGCATGGTTTTATTAGTTATTAAATATACTAGAGAACGGGAATCGATCTAGATAAATTAGTTCATCTGCTTTTCTATAATTGTAGATAGCTTTAGAATACGTATAATTTTGCATAAGTGTTGTTCATAGTAGCTTTTGTTTGAAAAGAGATAATAATTAGCTGCATCGATTTGGACAATAATTCCACTTAGAATTAAAATTTTAAATAGAAATGTGAATGTTTTGGTTAATTATTCGGTTGTACAGGTAACAGTAATGGTCCTATGATACGGAACCTATTTTTGATTCGTCAATAAATACTTCTACATCTCGTTTAAAGATGTGCAGTATTTTGATTAAGTCTTAGATGATATGAAAAAATACAAGTAAGAGACTTAATAAATGTTAAATATTACTAAAAATGTAAATATTACATCAAAACGAAGAGAACTTCATAGGTGATTAGAAAAATGTTACAATTTTAGTCTTTAAAAACTTCAAAATTTGTTTCAAAAGTTTTATTAACTATTGATTACATAAAAAAACAAATTAATTAATTAATTAATAATTACTTACATAAAAGTATGTAAAAAAATATCTACATAATAATTTTTATCCCGGGTTGGGTAACTGAAAATTTTATAAAGAGAATTTAAGAATGAGTATATTTACATAGTTTACCAATTGAATCAATTTGCTTAGGTTTTTAAATACTATTTATTATCAATAAGTATCGAACTATACTTTAAAAAGACTAAAAATTTCAATAACACATGTTATTTATGACGTTGGATCACATAAATGCTCATTCAAAATATGATAGGATTCAGTTCCACTCTTTGAACTTGCTGTCTAAGAATTATGTACTAATAATCGAATCAAAAAAATATTCTCAAAGAGTTTCGATCATTAAAGAGTTGTATGTTTAGCCAAAAAGTTATATATTCATGTTTATTTCTTTGTTTCTTTTTAAATAGAATATATATGAATGCAATTTTTAAACTAAGTAATTTGTTTTGGTTTGTTGCAGTTATTAGCAGGACAAAATAATTAAATACTTTGCTGAACTTTTACTCATGCTAAGATCGATGTCAATATACTAAAATTGACAATAACACTAAGGTGGATTGAAGCTTGTAGATAAAAGCCAAAATATATCCCTACAGATGTTACATCACAGGTAGCCACAGGTTTACCTTTGTAGTGGGACAAAACTGCGATTACAGGTTAGTAGATAACATATCGTCTGTATAATGATACTACTAGTTTCATTTTTAGTGACTAAGCAGCTGTGATTTAGCAGATTTAGAAAAAGGATAATTCAACGAAAGTTCTTACCTCCGGCTTATATTAGGAACCTTATAATGAGAAAAATTCTGGTACTTATTTCGAAAAGCAGAATATCTGCTGTTGGTTTAGATTCGGTTGTAGCACTTTAAACCGTTATATATTTTTATGCTAATACATAATGTATTCTTGTTTTTTTTAATTTTAACTCATTTTAAAAATTTTAATTATTACATTTGTATGCTGACTTATTTCAACTATTTCATTTCGCAAAATGTTTTAAAGATATGATTTGGTTTTCTGAAGTACAAACTCTTTATTTTTAATGCAATATCAAGATTTGCTAAAACACAAATTACAAAATGAAATTTTTTGACAGCAACAAAGTAAAAGCTATAGAAAAAGAATTTGAGTTTTCATATAAAAAAGTTATTAAATTCTTAAAATATGGACTGACCAAACTTGGCAATGAACAAGGAAACAAATTACAAGAATTTGTTTTGTGGTTTCCTTGGTTGTTAAGCTACTACAATAAGACCAGAACAAAGAATTTTTTAATTAAAAATTGGATAAGCGGAAAATTGTTATGTTAAATAGCTATGCAATCTTAGTTTAAACTGATTTTTTATATAAAATTGGCTAAAAAATATTTTAGTTATGCTGTTTTTCTCACCTGATTAACATCGATATTGTTCGTGCTACCACTCAATTCCGAGGTTATGTGAGAAACTCCTGGAAAATAAGTGAAATATGTTTTTTAAAAATTAATTAAAATATTATGTTAAGTTTTAATTTTAAAAAATTATTTATTTTTTTATTACTATTTTTAATAAATTATTAAAAATGCATGTATAAATTTTCATATATCTTATGAAAGTTTAAATAAATTTAGGTCTCAATAAATTCACAATAAATTTATAATATTTTTTTCTTATCTCGATTTCAGATTAAAAACATATTTCCAAACATTTTTTTTTTTTCATATATAAATTAAATAATCAAAATTGAAATAAGTTTCACAAAGATGTTTAACTTAAATGTGCTTATTTACTCATTCCATATTTTACATCCACATCATTTAACAAACAGAAAGAGGATTTAAATAATTACTTCAGTAACTTCTTATGTGCTTATGTACATAAAATTCACTTTAAGTTATTATTTATTTTTATTAATTATTCATTTAAGTTGCAATGTGTAATTGATTTCTGTAAACTTAAATATAGAGAACTGAAATAAAATTAATTTCATGGCAGTTTAGAGATTGTGGGAAACAAATGAAAGTAATTAAAAAATTTCTTTATTTATTTTAATTAATAATTTACAAGTTAATTTTTTCAAAACTCATTAATTCAAAAAAAAATTATTACAAATGTTTTATACTTTCATTTCAAACGTCATTCATATATTGAATCTTAAATCATCAATCATTCATATCAATCAAATTTATGCAATTGCAATAAGAGTAAGTGATGTTACTGTTATACACAGTTTGTTCCAGATCCCATGACGCTGGTTTCATAAACATTCTTAGAGCAGTGACATCTATAAGTGAATGATGCACATAGATAAAATGAGTGGTGTGTATTTTATCTACCTAATTGACATTTTGATCTGAGTTGACATTTTGCGTAATGTCACTTTTTGCACGTTAGTCGTAAGAACAACATAGAACAGATAGCGAATATAATATTTGGAAATGTTGAAACTATATATAGAAACAGATGTATGTTCTGTCCATATTTTTTCCGTTAATTTGGTCAATTATATGACTGTCAAGAGGTTCTCTAAGATGACCGAGCAATGGTGTCAAAATATCATTCACAATGAACAAGACATTGAGAAAAGCAAAGCGTATTGAATTTTGACTGAAGATTTGAATAAATTGAACTTCTGTGACCCAATGCAGATTAGAGAGATATTGAATATCAGTTTTTGTTATTAGTGATAAAACGGGATGCTTCTTATTTGAAATAAAAATATAACGCAAAAGTGTGGGATCAAAGTTCCAAAAAGAGTTGAAAGAAAGAAAATAAAGTTTTCATAAAGCAAAATCAAGAAAGCAAAATGGTTTTTTGATTTAAAGTGGATTGTTCAAAGTGAATTCGTCTCAGATGGTCAAACAGTGAAACAATAATATTATTTTCTACAGAAATTTTCTGAATAGAATTTAACAAGTTCGACCGGAGTATTTAGGTACAGACAATTGGTTTTTATTGGACAAAAATGCTATTTATCATAGTAGATGAATTCTGGATCAAAACAAACATCAATCTTATTGCTACAATATTAACCTGCTATGGCTTTGAGTTATTTCTGGTAATTATCCATGTTATGATTAAAAGATAATCACCTAGATATCATTGCGGTCATGCAAAAAGCTTCGATGGAGTAACTAAAATTGACTCTATGTATTTTTGATTAAGTCTCTAAATACACACTCAGAGGACAATTCTGTGTTTAAGTCTGAAAATGTGGACTAGTTTAAAGTTTATCATAAACATTATTCCTATGTGTTTTATATTGGTATCTTTGTAGTCTTTTTATGTTTGATGTACTTACAGTGGTCCAAAGTTGTATGAATTATATCCAGATCGGTGTTGGTATAATTTTGTACATCAAAATATTGATTACTAAACATAGTTTTGAATTTTACTTGTGTAAAATGCGGTTTTAGGATAAGTTGCAATAGCTCGGGTTTTATATGAGTGTTACACATTTGTCTGCTGTAAGGTATGTGATGGATTTATAGGAATTGAAGAATTGTAAAAGTCACTTGAAAGTAGTTTTTATCTAAGAGTAAATGGATTTGTATGATTTTTAGAGAGTACATTCAGAATTAGTTCAAAATGAATTTTGTTTCAATATCTTAGATAATTTCACCATTACGTTAATTAGACGTTTTGATTTTTTTGCTTTCGCTATTAATATGTAGTTCTACTGCACATTTCTATTGTATTTTAATTTTAATTTTGTATTATAAATACTATATATAATAATCGCTGCAAATATTCTAAAGAAAGTTTTTAATAGTAAGCTTATTAATATTGTTTAAATTTTGTGGTTTTTTAAATTACAGAAATTTATTTGCTGATAACATTTATGCAATCAAAGTAATATAATAATTATGAAGGCTTGTTTTCTTGTTAAAAAATTGAAGAAAATCATTAGGTACTCGTTTTGTATACTATTTGCAAATATTCTGCAATTACTGCAATTCTTCTTGCAGGAAGTTTTTGATATGTGGCAACTCTTTACTACTCGCTCACTGTTATTGATCTGAGTTATTGATTCAGATGTACTCTGCTGATACACTTTCTTAACTGTTCAGTCTTCACTTTTCAATTCAACTTTAAGGTCACTATTGAAAAATGTTTTACGATTATCAGTTGGGCGTAACTATCAGTTTTTTTTCTTTTTAACTAATTATAACGGTTCGATGAGAGGTGGTTGGTGATGGGGATTTTCTATTTATATGTTCGATTTTCAATAACAGAGTCATTTTCAGAATCATATTTAAGGAATATGTCTAATTAGATTTTGAAGATAATCTTTACCTTGTATTTAGGCAACAATACTATATAAAATTTCAAACATATATATTGCAATACATTGATGAATAAATAGTAACCTCCCAAAGCTAATGTTATATAATATGTAACTTTTTTTTGAACTTAATGTACAAATACTCCTTATATTGCATATATTATATATTTTTTAGTTCACAGACAATTTTTCTTTTAAGTTTAGTAAATGATTTGGAGAATGAATTTACGAAAAAGACTACGAAACACTTAATAAAAATATAGAAAAAGCTATAAATTAACAAAATTAAAATTCAATGAATGAAATTATATATTAAATTTTTTTAGGTAATCAAACTAATCTTCTTACATTCGCACGTAATCAGCCAAATTTTCAAAACTTAATTTCCCTAGAAAATTATAAATCTTATAAAGAAAATGTAAAAAATTAAAAAAAAAATAAAATAAAAGCGTTTATAATTTCAAATTGTGTTAGAGCACGGAAATTCCATTTCTACATACATACTTAATAGGAAATTGCTCACGATGTCTTTAATCCCTATTTCCAATCAAAATGTTTGAAATACATTAAATTTATAAGATAATCGAAATGCATAAGGAGTTCCTAAAGTTAATTGATTGTTTAGGGTATTTGAAAAGATACGAGAAAATCACAATAAAAAGGTAAGATTCCAGTTGAATAGAATTCTTAATCTTAGTTTTTTAATAACATTTTTTTAATAAAATGTTGAATAAATAAACTAAATAAATTATTTTGAATAAGTCTTTTGTGATTTAAATTCTCAACTGAGTAGAATTTAATTGAATTTATAAATGTGTTGATATTCTCATTGTTGAAATATTGCACTTGGCATAAAACCAACTACACAAAGTTTTATTATATCACTGAGATACATTACACAATACACAACTTTAAATCCTTTCAGACTTTTTGTTTGAAAATGTCGGAATGCGTTGAAACGAAATGCGTTGAAATGCAAGATTTGCTGCCTGCATATGTCACGGATTGGTTGTTTTTGCTGCAGGAAAACTAATTCAAGCTGAATTCAACGTTTTTTGAATAACTTGAGCTACATTTGAAAGCAATTTGTTTGCAATCAGTTTGCTTTGAAGCTAAATCCCCCATTTTATTATGGAAATTCTTTGATTTTTGCACGAGAAACTAAAAGTTTTGAAAAGCAATTGAGAAATCTGATTTCTTTGAATGAAGATAAAAATTTACTTTTAAGTTATAGATAGATAGTTTTGGACAAGAATAATAAGGAATTCGTTTTAAATTTTATGTAAAAATATTGTATATCTTAAGAAAATTGACTCAGTTCTCAGTTGACTAGATATTTTTAGATGACATAATGACATTTTAAAACTTTATTTTGTTTTTGTTGTTGTGGTTTCTTGAGTTATTGCTATTGCGCACTTTTACTCTTTTGTGGCTAGAGGGCTTATCCCTGCCCCACAAAAATTCATATAGTTTATTTATCTTTTAAGTGATGACGGACCGTATTTTACTAAAAATTGAAATAAGTCAAGCAATCATTAGTTTTAAGCCCTAGAAAATTCTGTCATTATTTCATTTTCAATACTTATCTCAAAATTGCCATCCTGGTATATTCATTAGTAAACAGAATTTACTATTAAGCATTTCGACAGTATTGAGATATAATAATCATATTAAAGGTCTGATGGTTTCGTAGTAGGCAACATACGACTTGAAATGAAAGCAGTTTAAATAACTTCTCATTTTGACTTCTTATTTTATTTTAGAGTATAAATGGAATACTGTAGTCTTGCGCTGATGCTTTAATGGTAGCGTATTCTGACAAGTGGACTGGACAAAAGTTGCCATGATAAACAGTAGGTGTAATTTATCTAATAATTTTTAATGTTTACTAAACTATTAAGTTATTTCTAAATACTACTTAAGAGATGATATTTGGGAATACTTGAAATAGCTATATGGTCGGCTAAAAAAATCAGTTAATTAAATATAAAATGATCTTACTTTTTATTATTTTTTACTATTAACGAAAACAAATTTTCTCTATTTAGAAATTATGTAGTTTCTTCGTCACAATTAAGTTTAAAACAAAATGTAGTATTTTCTATGTGTTTATATATGAAGATGAAGTGGTTAAAGATCTAGCTAATTTCATATAAAGAACCAAATAATTTATCAATACACGCAGTTAAAGTCTTAATGCAAACAATGATTACTCTACGCATTGCCAAATTTGCGACAGGCATATAGGTAGTGGTCTTATACTTTTTTAGCAGCCAGGTCAAGGGCTACATGGTCAATTTATTCCAAATGTAGAACCTATGATTTGATACATAGAAGAAATATGTCTTAATATTAATATCTGTCTTTACACGACACTGGACCATAGGACGGTACGGGGCTAAGCTCAGCCTACCCTATAGTATCTCCTGTAATGCGTGTCTACCGGCGCACGAATAAAAGACGCCAGAACATCTATAGGTGCATCTACGCAAAAGTGAACGACTGCGAACGAACGAATTTTTGAAGGTGCTTCTTATTGTTTCTATGTTCACGTTTGTTCAGAACCAGGCTTAACCTTTTGGGGCACCCTTATTTAACAAACTCAGCGATATCTCCAGCATTAGCATTGTCCGACTTTCGCTTTTATAGACGCTTCTGGCTGGTTCGAATTCGACCATTTTTCTACATATTTTTACTAAGTATTGTGAAATCAAAATGACTTTATTCCTTAAGTGAGGAGGATTCGTTACTCCTTCTACTTCAACTGACCTAACCTAACCCGCATCCATTTGGCAACTTTGAGCGTATCATATTGAGCAATAGATGTCTCCATGTAGAAGTGTGAATTTTTATATGTATATTCTAACACATGTGTACAAATATTAACTGTGTAATCAATATCTTTTAATTCAGTTCATGTAATTGAAATATTGTGATATTTTATTAAGTGATGTATTAAATTACATATTTCTAACGAATAGTATAACAGTACAGCATATTTTGAAATAGTTTTAATAACATGTCAATATGTTCTTATTTCATTTATTTTATCAAAGAATAAACATTATCATTTTACGACTAACTTAAGGAATAAATGGTAACCATTTTACACACCCAAGTATCTCTATAGGAATTCCAAAAATAGCGCATGCAATGCGTTTCACTGGCGGGTATTTTTTTTCTTCATACGTCAAATTTAATCTTCCACACAAGCCAAACGTAGTTGCACACTCTTGTGGACAGACACATCATTAACCCGGGCCACACAGAAATGTCAAAAATTTCTTCAAGTAATGCCTTAGTCATAAGATATAAAAGTAATTGTCGCTGTTGAACTTTATGTCCAAGATGCCACAAACATACAAAATGGTTGCAAAATTCATCTAAAGAGGATGGCACATGTGTCAAGTCAACGATAAATAAATAAAAAAATGCAATAATTTTGCAAAGAAAATGCCTTAACGTTCTGTTATTTTTACATCTTGAGAAAACATTTTGTAACTTAGATGTATGATTTATATAAAGGATCGAGTTTTTTCTCCGGCACGGCAAATGTGCATACTAAGTACAAACAGCCCATTTCGTTAGTTTCGGATTTATGCGTGCTGGAATGGCAGTTATATTAAAAGGAATTTTTCCATTTTTTTTTTGCTGACACATTACAAATTAAATAACCCATAAAGTCATGTTATGGTAGCAAGAAATGTGTTTGAAAGTCATTTTGCTGGTAAAATATTTAATATTGCATGGATATTAAGTGTGAATACAGTACTTAAAACCCATGTGAAGGAAGTGAGAAGATACAGAGATAATATTTATTTTAATTTTAAAATGACTAAGAAAATGTGAACATTAATTCTGATATCTTGTCTACAATACACAAATTTAAGTCGGCCTACTTAAATATGCTTTAAACTAATATCTTAATATCTTAAGAAATATAGACCAAATTCTTTAAGCAATCTATTAAAACTTACAATGTCCTTTTTATATATGTATAACTTAAATAATAGTTAGAATAAACACTTTATATATGGTAAATGGAGCATAGCTTATAATATATACATATATATATATCATATTTATAAAAAAAAACATATACATTTGACTTACCTCGAAACTCTACCCGTCCAATGAGACTTGATTTTGCCTTGGGCAATTGAAATTGTATAATTTTCACAGTAAGCGACATCTTATTATTGTAAATTTTATTGTTGTTGGTGTTGAATGTATTCACATATGGCTGTGCCTTTTTATTGTTCCATTGAAGTAAATAAAGTTCAAAGTTTTATAATCTTATACATGTATTATTGCTTTTTTGTTGCGACTTGGTGTTTATATTGGTTCCATTGGTAATTTATGTGCACTTAAATCTAGTCTGAAAATAAAATAAATTGATTAAGAGCTATAATATATCTTTTATTAGGAAACTTATTACATGTTGTTTTATAGTGCATTTAAATAGAAATTAAAAAATCCGTATGAAGGGTTCCATTATTTATATTTGTTGAGGTATAAAGCCAAAGAAATATAACCAGAAAAATTTTTAGAAATGGTATACCTAAGTAGCTAGCTTAAACATCTTTTCATTGAGTTCCTGATGTCTTTAATTAAATTACATAAAATAAAATTGAATGAAAAAAGTTAATATAATTAGAAATGAAAAAAAAAATAAACGAATAGAAGGGCCTGCATTTTGAATATACACTGGGATTTATATAAAGTCAAAAAAAAAAGAAAATAAATGATTCATTTAAATAGCTTAAGCCACATCTTAATTTTTAATTTATAATACAACTTATTATTTAATCTCAGATATATCTTTGATTTATATGAATTTGTATAAAATAGATTGATTCATTTAAATAACTAAACTCACATTTTAGTCCATAGTCTATTAAATAGTTTTTTATTAAATCTCTGATAAATTTTTGACTTTAAAATATTGGAAAATTATGTTTGTTCGAAGTTTATTTCCTTCAAAAATTTTTAAATATTTTTTTTCTAATCCAATAAATATATAATTTTTTCTAAACCAATTCTTTACTATGAATTGAAATAGTTTTTGTGTAGAATTTTCTGTTTTTCCTGTTTTCTGTCAAACAGTTTTTTATTTTAAATGTTTAGAATAAAAGTCTTTAAATAATTAATAATTTAAATAATTTATTTTCATATACTTGAGCAGAAGAAACATATCCGAAATTCATGTATATTTTTTTAAGATATATTGTAGATGTCGATTCTATTTTTTAAGATTTATATTTTCAGATTTTATATATTTTTATAATATATTACATTAAAAAAGAATGCTGAAATACATAGGTTAAAAATTTTTTTTTTTTAAAAATTTAGTAATGAATAAAAGCTTTAAAAATTGCTTTCAAAAAGAATAATTATGTCAGGAGGCCTTCTGTTTTGAAGAGGCATACATGGTTTCTTAGTCCAAGAAACCAAACAACAATAGTAAATAAATTTGAATGATTATCTTCATATATTAAACGATTTTAATTGTGTATATATGCACTGTACATAAGTAAATAATCATCCTTAAATTCAACACGTTTGTTTTATCATAAAAAGTAAAAAAATGTAAAATTAAATCATTAGTATTATTTATACTTAAATTATTTTAAATTATTATAACAAATCTTTGTTTTGCAAAGATGTCACTACGTAGGACTGAAATATTGGTCAAGTGTTTTAGGAGAAACATCACCGTACAGCACTTAGGTTCCTATTCCTTATTTTTACTCTTATTTAGTTTATAAATAACTTACGTATGAAAACCTAAAGAAGTAGAAACTTGCGTAAATTTGAGTTAATAGTTACTAAATATCGATGCTATATATTCTAATTATATGGTATATAGTAATAATTAACAGAATAATCACATAGATAATAATTTTTATATATTTTATTTTTTAAACTGACAGACTTACCAACACCGCGTTATCAAATTTCAAAATGGTTACAGGCTCTTCGGGGAGGTACGCAGATCTGAGGTCAATTATTGCTTAGTCTGATGAAGTGATAAACAATAATCTAGCCAAAGTGTAGAGAGGGGTTTTGAAAATACCTCGAGTTAAAAAAGAGTATAAGTGCTTAAGTGCACTAGCTCAAAACAGCTTCAACATAAATAATTATTTTTTATATTATAAATATAAATTTAAGAAAACTAATATTGACATATCATATTATTATTTACACTACGTTAAATTAATCTTATAAATTTTTATTTTTTGAATTTGAATTTGTAAACGTTACAAATAAACAACAAATTTATCATTGAAAGTATTCAATAAACAATTTTAAGTCAACTTCAATAAAATAGATCAAGATTTAAAAGGTCAATTAGGATACTTTTAATTGATATTCTGTCACATAAATTTACTTCAATATCTATCTTAATGAAGCTTCGAATTTCATTTCAATTTAATTTAATATAAAGTTTTCCTTATACAATTAATTTGATATATTTTGTTGAAAACTTTAGATTAAAACTTTCAACTATAAGTAAATGGTATGATATGTATTTAAAGTATGTATAAAACAGTTGAATTATATAAATGTGTATAATATTTATTGAAACTTTTAGTGATATTTGTGCGTTAACAAACATTTTAATTCTGTGTTACGGAATCATCTTTCAAGCTCATTTCACTATTTGAATAACGACGAGTGCATAAACCTTTAATTATCGTTAAGCCGCAAAAATGTTACAAAAACCAATTGACTGAAAAAAAAAATTTTTTTTTTCATTCAGGATAAACGTGACTATGCATATAACAATTTTAATGAAGTATAAAACCCAGAACCGTAGGTGAGCAATGTAACTGAAAAAGTTTCCAGTAACAAAAACAACAAAGACAGTAGCAATTTACTTTATTGTCAATATTCGTTCAATTAAAAAAATTATTGCGCTGCATTGCATGACAGTGATGAAGTGGACACCGACAGCAAAGGACATGTCCACATTTGTGATTGTGGTAGTTTTAAAAAGAATTTAATTGTAACTCAGGTGCAGCAGAAAAACAGGTGGTAACCATTCAAGCTACTGACAGGTAGAAATTGAGAAATTCAAGCTTCCGTACTATGAAAGAGTATATACATTCTACTCACACTAGTAGTTTCATATTACGAATAGAATGCATATACGAGTATCTACCAGGTTATAGTTCCTAGCGTTTATCTTCACAAAAAAGTGGAAAACTAAAAATATGTATTTTTGCGTATTATATATACTCCTACATAAGTCATACATCATAAGTAAAATATTATATGCACTTGCAGTTATAAAAGAAAATTATTTGCTGTATGCAAAAAGGTAAGATATGAACTAAATTTTTTAATTAAAGTATGAATGGTTTAATTTCGAAAAATTATTACAGTAATAAATAAGACTAAGGTAATTTGGAACATATTTATATTGAAAAGATTAGAGTCTATGAATTTAAAATGATTATTTAGAGCAAAACAATCACACAGACTTAAAACAGATTATATACTGCAAAGATATGACTAAATTTTAAAATTATATAGAATTTATATCGTCACTTACACTTTAATGAGTCTTGAGTTGTTAAGCAATGGTGACTACTTCAAATGATCAATGGAAAGTTTTGAAGTATATTGCAGTTACCAATCGCTAGATTTAAGTAGATATAACAAAATTTTAATAACAAATCAACAAATTTGATTTTAAAGCCAGTTATGACAGTAGTGACTATTTTACTTAATAAAAACTATCGTATTTAATAGAGAGGCTTCGAATAGTACTAAATTGTAACAACAAAATTTTAGTTAAGTTTTAATTAATTGAATTTCAATTATTTAATTATTCTGCAGCTTGTTTATAATTTCATACTATTGTAAAACAACAAGTGAATTTGTTAATGAACTTGCACAACTCTAAGTTTCACAAAACTCTAAGTTCGGACCTATAAATCAAGTGCGGCAATGAACACTGACTCTGAGCTTCACCTTTGACAGAGTACTTATGAGTATTTACGAATAAATAAATAAAATAAGTAATTCCAAATACCCAATACTCAAAACAGCTGTATGCTCAGACAAAATTAAATAAATTAAAAATAAATAAAATTTTTGTTGTTACACTTCACTACTGTTCGAAATGTCTCTACAAAAATCATTTCAAAGAAAGTGTTGTAAAAGATTAGAAAATAATATTTAAAATTAACTCGACGATTCGTTCGTTAGAAAATTACAACGATAAATTGTTTATTAGAAGACAATTACAGTTATAGGTGGACGCCTTTTAAGGTTATTTATTATATAATTAAAATTAATAGTATATTTTTGTTTAAATTATGCTTAAAATTTATTGGGTGATTCCAAAATCTGAAACCATTTACTTTATTTGCAAAGTTGCTTCAAACCTTTAAATTTACAGCAAGTTTATTGAAATTTCTCTTTGTGTATGTACCTTTTGCATAATCAAGAATTTTCTTCTACACAAAAGGTGTGTTCCGAACCTAATAAACATTCCATAGAGTAGCCTTGAACATTCCTAAAGCTTCAAACATATCTTTGCAAGGTTTCAATGCTAAATTTGCATTGGCTTAAAGTCTTATAGCAGATATTCGAAGCGATTTTAATTTGATTTTGAAGAGAAGAATTTTGCTGTATCGCAAATGTGGTGTAAAATCATATGCGAAAGTATCTATGATTGAAAAATTTTTATTAATTATATTATTATTAAACAAATGAACAATCTTATTTATATAAATTTCAGAAAATGAAACTCTTATACCATTTATACATCATTATGTTGATATTTTTAACACTATAAAGATTTAGGTTTATTGACCTTATTGTTTATAAAATGCTGTATAATAGCAAAGCTTAATTAATTCTTATGGGATCTGAAAGTCTATACTTATAAAAGTAATAACCAACCACAAACAAAATCTTGAAATGTTTTTGACAATTAAATATACATTTCAATTTAATCTCCTTGCATTAAAATGGAATATATTATTTGTATATCATCCTAAAATATCACCTTTTATAGTTGCTATTAAAACTCTGTCTAATAAAACAAACGCTGTAATTCAAGGTGAGCCATTAAATACTGTGTACCGTCTCGTAGTTCCTTCAATGTATGAGCCTTGGGTATGCGACTTCCGTATAAGAATATTTAACTGTTGATTTGTGTTATGTACTTTAAAGCACTTCTATGAACTTTTATGTTGCATTTGGTATTCAGTTTCAGCCTCAGAACTTTATTCATAAATTATATATGTTATGCATGCTATTTTGTGATATCCGCTTCCGTTTGCATGCTTGCATTTTAAATTTACAGTTTTTTTGTTCTGCCTCGTTTAAAGTTCACCTATTTGCGTGTATGGAGAT